TCCTTCACCTCTTAAATTATAAGCCCCCTCTCTGTCACCAAACATTTCCTGTATATTGTGTGGACGTTTTTGATTTCGGACCTTAAACATGAATTGTGTAGTTTTAAATATTACCAGGTCCCAGAATTTCAGTATATTTGATTTAATGAATAACTGGTTTGTGTGTTCCCAGTATCCCACTTTAGATTTTTTTTGTAAGATGTATAATGGTTCATTATTATATTCTTTTTACACAACATCCCAATTTGTAATTAATGCATGTACTCGCTGTATCCATAAACATTAACATGGGGGGGAGGGCTAATATAAAATTAAGACTTTCTTTGTTCCCTCATCTGCATTCATCATTTATTGAAGGAAACAATAGAAATTTGACACTACTAAATGAACTGATGTTACTTGTTCTTTTTTTTATTTTATGTTGCAGATAAAACTGCTTTAAGAGATTTCTGACATTTCTAGGAAAATCAAAATTTTTTAAAGTTTATTGTTTACTTGCATTTTGAGCTCGTTCACTTCAAATCAGTCAGCAAACATAATGAATGAATGAATATTTCATTGATCCCATGAAGGGAAATTACAGTTCGGAATAAATATGCATGTTAGTACYAATATGAAAAAGAAAGTTCAAATTACCTGCTATCTCTGTCACTGTAAACAAAAAAACAAACAAGCAAACAATTAAAAGCACAAATCCATCACTTGTTTGCAATCGTCCCTTTAATTTGACGATTTCTGCACCCTGTTGGGAGTTCCAGCTGTTGTCCTCACATGCAAAGTGTGACATTAAAACACCCACACATGGTGGCCCCACCCACACTGAATGGCACTCTGTTGTTGCACTGAAATTTAACAAGATTAATTGCCAAAGGTAAACCAAAAATCCTGGCTTAAACATATTAAGAGCAGTTCTAAGTTCTCTTGCTTTTCACCACCTATCCTGTCTTCACCCTGCTCTCTCTATCTTTTTTGTCATCCTTTGTCATAATTCCCAACACAGTGCTCCTGCTCACACAGACACACAAACGCACCATATTTCTAGAATTAGACCTGATTAAGGGAGCAAGCTTCGTAACACTGACCCTTGTAGGCAATCTGGATTGAATATGCAGAGGATTAAAGAGGAAGAGCTCACTGTGATTGTGTCTAAAGAGATTAAGCTAAAGAGTGCTTTCAGTTGTGCTTAACAACAACAACTGCCCTAAATAAAAACTTTACAATTGAATAAAGTTGCACAAATCCATCAAAGTTTAGGTACAGATTTTTTTTTTTTTTTTTTTTGTTAAATGAGTTATGTCCACTCGTAAATTGTAAAATGAAATGTTGGAATTTTTATGTTTATTTGCCACATTCATTGACAGTATTTTTGAACACTGTGTGATGGAAAAAGTGATGTTCAATGACCAGAAAATAAGACATTTTTTTTGTCACTGAGAAGGTGGTCTTAAAACAGCATATAAAACAGTGTTCTGGTGGGAGTCTTGTTGTATTTTACAGTGTCCTGGTTTGTGAAAACTTAACCTTTCTTTTGTTTTATCCCATGTCAAACACGTGTGGTTTAAGGCCGGTTATGCACATGTATGTTTAGGAGTAGCGGTCAARATACCTCATTGGTCAGTGGACTGAACAAAGAGGTCATAGAGAGCAGCCATATTGTGAAGGGTGAGGACAAACGAGTGAAGCTGAATGTAGTAACCATGTACAGTGAAAGTTTGCTATTGACAATTGTTATTTTGATTGGATAGAAATACTTGTCATTACAAATTATCATATGAGGTAAAAACATGTTGCCAAAGTCATGGACGATGTTTCTAAAAGGCAGAAGCTAACCAATAAAAAACAGATATTTTTATGCAATTCTACGTGGAAATCTAGCCATGACAAATCAGATCAAATGAAACCAAACAGGCAATTAAKCCCAGTCAGCCCAACAGGCAGCCTCCCTTAAATCTTCAGCAGGGGTACAATGGACTAAACCACTGAGTACTAAGGTGGGGAAGCTATAGCTTCCAGTAAGCCCTCACTTATTAACACTTTAACTTTATCACTTTAACATTTACATTGTTAATAACATTAATCTATGTTCCCAGAAATGAAACAGAATTTCCCACATTTGGATATCATAAAAGCTCTAATGCAATAATCTCTAATAATCTCACAAGACTTATAAAAGTGCTGATTATGARTGAGCTCCTACCACATCAAACTTTAACCGACTGAGTTACAGACATTTTATGTTTTCAAATGTCAGTTAGCTTTGGCAGCCATCTTGAATTGGATTGATTTCAAAGCTTAGGAAGTTGTAGATGCATCRAAGATGATTACTTTCTGAAAGTTTCATTTGACTAATGCTACAGAAAGATGAGCACACAAACACAGGCATGAATGAAAACATTGTTGCCTCCACTTCAAAGGAGAATAATACCAAAAAAACTATAATAAAAACAGTTTCCATCCTGTTCCAGCCTCTTTGCAGTGGCTTCAGATGGACACTACAGGAACATTACAACAATCCACTTAAACTAATCTCTGCCACTTTTAGATCCTCTGTCACTTTGTGTGAAATCAAATGTCCCACTGAGCTGTTGCCTGTAGCAAAGGAAACCTTTAATCAAAACATACTTAAATTAAAAACCAGCAGTGAAATTCATATAATCTGTTTCCCTGTGAACACAGCTGCCTGTTTATTTAAATAAAAACTACGATGACTAAAAGTAACAAGAATAAACATCAGTCATTACTTTAAGAGATGCACAGAAAAAAATTTGTGAAAGATTGAAAGATTTTGTGGGATAGAATTAAAAATTGAAACAATTTGACAATTTAACGCTGTAAAGCTGCACCTTTTCACATGTTCATCTGTTTTTGTTATGAATTGTACAGTTTTATGGCAGAACTCTTTTTAGGATTACTATGGTAAAATCAGAAATAATGAAGCTGCATGAAGCAAAACATCACAACTCACCTAATTTAGCCTCTATCCGTACCTTTTCTCAGTTCTTTACTTTCCTCTGGCCAAATCCACCACTGACTGGAAGTTGTTGAGCYCAGATGCATCTCCTCTCTTCCCCACCCCCTTTCCCTTCCTGCTTTAATCTTCACTAGATCCCTGAACACCAGCTACTTACTATCTGTCTGCTCTGCCAAAACTTTATCTTTAGGGGTARAACCTTAGACAGCTGCTACAAAACCTGGTTTTCCCTTTAAAATATCAATAATAATATTGTGTTATGTTTTGTGATGCATTAAAAATGCACCATGGTCGGTGTCAAAAAGATGTGAAATAAGTATGAAGACATTTCACTTTTTGTAAAAACACAGGCTGAARGCTGACTGACTGCTAAATTTGTAAAAGAAGATGAAACTGAAAACTTAAAGTTACAACAAGCCGGACAGAACTAAAATAAGCTAAATAGTAGCTAAAAGCTAAAACTGGCAGAACAATAGCTTAAAACTAAAAGTAGAAATACAGCAAATAAAAGCTAAACTTAGCAGTAAAGAAGTTAAAAGCTACAATTTATAGTAAAAAAATCTAAAAGTTGAAAAACTGTAGCTATAATGTAAAATCAGCACAAAAAGTTGTTTGAAGCTAAAAGTTGAAAAACAGCTAAACAGTGAAATAAGCACAACAGCAGCTAAGAGTTTAAAGTAGAAGAGTAGAAAATGGTGGTAAAAATCTAAAAGTAACTAAATAGTTAAGTATACTAGAACAGTAATTAAAGCTGCAAATACATCTGACATCAAAAAGTAACTAAATAGTTGTCACTTCATTTCGGATTACTAGCACAAAGTCACAGCAAAAAACATTAATTATGTATACTTTATAAAATTATTTTAGTAAAATTTATTAAGGAAGGATTGCGTTGAATCTCCACTTCCTCACAATTTCCAGTCCTGAGCAGCACATACGCAACGTGGAAAAGCTCTGGTTTAACTGGAAGAAAGCTCCATCAGAACCAGMCTCAGGTGAGGCAGCCAACAAAATCACAAAGGAAACTGTAAACATAAAAACACACGAATGCTGACTCATCAGACTGAATTTGTAAATTCAATAAAAGCCATATAGAATCATCATCATCATCACTGCCATAATTTAAGATCGATATCATGAACAGTGTTGTGTAAAGTACCAAAAAGTGATACTTGAGTAAAAGTACAAGTATCTTACGAAAAAATTACTTTGGTAAAAGTTAAAGTCTCCTTTAGGAATATTACTTGAGTAAAAGTTGTAAAGTATCTGATATTTTTTGTACTTAAGTATTAAAAGTAAAAGTATTGATTTAAAATGAGCAGTTACATTTTCCATAATTACTTTTATTAGGAGGTNTAAAATAACGAATTTATGTTAAATTTAGGATGCACTAGTCTAGCTGTTTCAGTTTATATACATATTTCAAGGCTGCACAAACCTTTTCCCCAAAATGAAAATCTATCTGAGGGCTGCGGCCAAATTTAATAATATAATTCATGAAATACAAATACTTCTTAAGTACAGGATTTTTATTTGAATGATTATGTCCTGCTGGAGTGTGACATGATTTGATTGTGTACAAACTAATACAGTATCAGATATACAGTATTTATACTTCTCATTCAACAACAGGTAAATTCCCTCTTTCTAGGAGGCACAATTTATATGGATAGTATTTATTTTTTACAAAAACAAGCTGGAATAAAAACAAGCAAAAATGAAAGAAAAGTAACGACTTTCTACTTCTTGTCTTTTTAAAAAATGTCAGGAGTAGAAAGTACAGATAATTATGTAAAAATGTAAGATGAAGAAGTAAAAAGTAGYCWGAAAAATAATTACTCAAGTAAAGTACAGATACCCAAAAATTCTACTAAGTACAGTAACAAAGTATTTGTACTGAGTMACTTTACAACTCTGATCATGAAAAGATTGTTTCATTTGTAGATAGCTGACATCTGAAAAACAATGAGTTGTTTTTGCTTCCAGCTGAATCCATCCAGCATGTTGGACAGCCTCCAACAAGTCAGTCAGCAGAAGAACTTAAGCCGACTTGGTGAGTCTGATCTTAATTAAAGTCTCGACCTCAGAAGAAGAGGACAGGAGCAGCACAATCCAACATGCAGCTCTGATGCTATTTATAGAATCTATACTACGTCTGTGAAGATGTCATCGGAGCTGTAAGTGTTGTATCTAAGAGGAGTGCTCATTTGTGCTGAGCAGAGACCTGATTAGTGGTGATAAAAGTGACCAGAACATAAGCAAAGTTTTTCCTCAACTGTGTGAATGTATCGTCCACATTCATGCCACTGTTTTCCTATTTAGAAATTTGATTTTTTTTTTCTGAACTGTTTTTGGACTCAAACTACCACTTAACACATCTAAACTCTCCTTAACCTACCTGAATTTAGAATGCTCTCCTCTCACCTGGAAACGAAGTCTTTTCAGCTCGTCATGTCTCCTATCATTAAATATGTGAAATTGCAAATTTATTTCCAAACACATCTAATAATATGTCTCCTAACGTGTTTWTAGAAATATGTTTTTCTAGACATTAATGTAATGATTACCAATAAGTTTTTTTTCTCACAAAACATTATTTTTTTATTGTATAAACACAGTCAAGCTTTTATTTTGCTACTTCCTGTCACAGGCAGTATGAATTTGTAAAAGTAACTAAATACTAAGTTTCAGTGAAACTTTTAAATTTAATATTTAATATTTAGATTTCACATTTAAATTTAAGTATTTAAATGTGCTAAAATGTAGCTTTAGAAAATCCACATTACTTTTCAAACATTGTTGGAAGCTAAATGTGACAAAATCTTGCTGTTTTCTTCAGCGCAGGCTGATTTAGAAACGATGCCCCATGAATCAGTAAAATATCTAGATCAGATAAATGTCTTGGATCATGTTTTATCATAATAGGCAGTCTCCTGGTTTGGAAATTATCTCTAACTGGGTGTTAAAGGGATCCACGATTAGTTGTAACATTAGACTTTATTTAATAAACATATATTTTAACTGTAAAATAAAGACTGTAAAAATCAAAAAGAAAAAAATTGTATAGGTCTTCTGGACGGGTTCTTCTTTAATGAAACGTTTCGTCTCTCCTCCAAGAGACTTCTTCAGTCTGAGAGTTTCAGGCAAAATTCAGGCTTTTAAGCCCTGCCTCCATGTGACTGAGACTCACATTACTGATGTTATGTTATGATGTGAGTATCAGTCACATGGAGGCAGGGCTTAAAAGCCTGAATTTTGCCTGAAACTCTCAGACTGAAGAAGTCTCTTGGAGGAGAGACGAAACGTTTCATTAAAGAAGAACCCGTCCAGAAGACCTACACAATTTTTTTCTTTTTGATTTTTTACCTGGATTACTGAGATGCATCAGGACACTTTGTGAAGCCTTGGTTTTGTACCAGTTTGAAGGAACAATCTACTTTAATCCAGGGAAAGGGATTGTGGAATGGTCTGGAGG